CCAACTGAGGTACCCGGCTTATCTCATTGGGACTGGTTAGACAGTGGGTGCAGCTCATGGAGGGCAAGCAGAAGCAGAGTGGGGCGTCGCCTCACCCAGGAAGTGCAAGGGGTCGGGGAACTCCCTCCCCTAGCCAAGAGAAGCCGTGAGGGACTGTGCTGTGAGGAATGGTGCATTCCGCCCCGATACTATGCTTTTCCCACGGTTTTCGCCACCTGCAGACCAGGAGATTCCCTCGGGTGCCTACGCCACAAGGGCCCTGGGTTTCAAGCACAAAACTAGGTGGCCGTTTGGGCAGACAGTGAGCTGGCTGCAGGAAGCCAGGGAGCCAAGTGGTCTACCTCAGTGGTCCCACTGCCATGGAGCCCAGCAAGCTACGATCCACTGGCTTGAAATTCTTGCTGCCAGCACAGCAGTCTGAAGCTGACCTGGGATGCTCGAGCTTGGTAGGGGGAGGGGCATCCACTGTTACTGAGGCTTGAGTAGGCAGTTTTCCCCTCATAGTATAAATAAACAAAGCCACCAGGAAGTTCGGACTGGGTGGAGCCCATATCATGATGACAGGATCAAATTCACACATAAAATATTAACCTTAAATGTAAATGGGCTAAATGTCTCAATTAAAAGATCCAGACTGGCAAGTTGGATTAAAAAGGTAAGACCCATTGATGTGCTGTATTTGTGAGACCCATCTCAGGGACAAAGACACACATAGGCTCAAAACAAAGGGATGGAGGAATATTTACCAAGCAATTGGAAAGTTAAAAAAAAAAAAAAGCAGGAATTGGCGGGGCGCAGTGGTTCACACCTGTAATCCCAGCACATTGGGAGGACAAGGCGGGTGGATCACCAGAGACTGGGAGTTCGAGACCAGCCTGACCAACATGGAGAAGCCCGTCTCTACTAAAAATTCAAAAATTAACTGGGCAAGGTTGCGCATGCCTGTAATCCCAGCTACTTGAGAGGCTACGGCAAGAAAATCTCTTGAACCCCGGAGGTGGAGATTGCAGTGAGCCAAGATCACGCCATTACACTCCAGCCTGGGCAATGAGTGAAACTCTGTCTCAAAACAAAAACAAAAACAGACGGGTTGCAATCCTAGGCTCTGATAAAACAGACTTTAAACCAACAAAGATCCAAAAAGACAAAGAAGGTCCTGGTAAAGGGATCAACGCAACAAGAAGAGCTAACTATCCTTAATATATACGAACCCAAAATAGGAGCACACAGATTCATAAAGCAAGTTCTTAGAGACCTACAAAGAGACTTAGACTCCCAAACCCCACTGTCAATATTAGAAAGATCAATGAGATAGAAAATTAACAAGGATATTTAGGACTTGAACTCAGCTCTGGACCAAGCAGACCTAATAGACATCTACAAAACTCTCCACCCCAAATTAACAGAATATACATTCTTCTCATCACTACATCACACTTTAAAATTGACCACATAATTGGAAGTAAAACACTCCTCAGCAAATGCAAAAGAACAGAAGTCATAACAACAGTCTCTCAGACCGTAGTACAATCAAATTAGAACTCAAGATTAAAAACTCATTCAGAACTGCACAACTATATGGGAACTGAACAACCTGGTCCTGAATGAATATTGGGTAAATAATGAAATTAAGGCAGAAATAATAAATTCTTTGAAACCAATGAGATCAGAGACACAACATCCCAGAATCTCTGGGACACAGCTAAAGCAGTGTTTAGAGGGAAATTTATAGCACTAAATGCCCACAGGAGAAAGCAGGGAAAGACCTAAAATTGACACCCTAACATCACGATTAAAAGAACTAGAGAAACAAGACCAAATTCCAAAGCTAGCAGAAGACAACAAATTGCTAAGAACAGAGCAGAACTGAAGGAGATAGAGACACGAAAAACCCTTCAAAAAATCACTGAATCCAGGAGCTGATTTTTTGTGAAGAACTCCTGAGGGAAGCTCTGTTTTAACAAAATAGACCACTAGCTGTACTAATAAAGAAGAAAAGAGAGCAGAATCAAATACAATAAAAAATGATAAAATGGATATCACCACTGATTCCACAGAAATACAAACTACCATCAGAAAATATTATAAACACCTCTACACAAATAAACTAGAAAATTTAGAAGAAATGGATAAATTCCTGGATGCATACACCCTCCCAAGACTAAACCAGGAAGAAGTCGAATCCCTGAATAGACCAACAACAAGTTCTGAAATTGAGGCAGTAATTAATAGCCTACCAAGGAAAAAAAGCCCAGGACCAGATGGATTCACAGCTAAATTCTACCAGAGGTACAAAGAAGAGCTGGTACCATTCCTTCTGAAACTATTACAAACTATAGGAAAAGAGGGACTCCTCCCTAACTCATTTTATGAGGCCAGCATCATCCTGATACCAAAACCTGGCAGAGACACAACAAAAAAGAAAATTTCAGGCCAGTGTGAACATTGATGTGAAAATCCTCAGTAAAATACTGGCAAACTGAATCCAGCAGCACGTCAAAAAGCTCATCTACCAGCTTCATCCCTGGGATGCAAGGCTGGTTCAACATATGCAAATCAGTAAACGTAATCCACCACCTAAACAGAACCAATGACAAAAACCACATGGTTATCTCAGTAGATACAGAAAAGGCCTTTGATAAAATTCAACACCCCTTCATGCTAAAAACTCTCAATAAACTAGGTATTGATGGAACGTATCTCAAAATAATAAGAGCTATTTATAACAAATCCACAACCAATATCATACTGAATGGGCAAAAGCTGGAAGCATTCCCTTTGAAAACTGGCACAAGACAAGGATTCCCTCTGTCACTACTCCTATTCAACATAGTATTGGAAGTTCTGGCCAGGGCAGTCAGGCAAGAGAAAGAAATAAAGAGTATTCAAATGAGAAGAGAGGAAATCAAATTGTCTCGGTTTGCAGATGACATGATTGTATATTTAGAAAACCCCTTAATCTCAGTTCAAAGTCTCCTTAAGCTGATAAGTAACTTCAGTAAAGTCTCAGGATACAAAATCAATGTGCAAAAATTACAGGCATTCCTATACACCAGTAATAGAGAGCCAAATCATGAGTGAACTCCCATTCACAATTGCTACGAAGAGAATAAAATACCTAGGAATACAACTCACAAGGGATGTGGAGGACCTCTTGAAGGAGAACTACAAACCACAGCTCAAGGAAATAAGAGAGGACACAAACAAATGGAAAAACATTCCATGCTCAAGGATACGAAGAATTAATATCGTGAAAATGGCCATACTGCTCAAAGTAATTTATAGATTCAGTGGTATCCCCATCAAGCTACCATTGACTTTCTTCACAGAGTTAGAAATAAAACTACTTTAAATTTCATACGGAACCAAAGAAGAGCCTGTATAACCAAGACAACCCTAAGCAAAAAGAACAAAGCTGGAGGCATCATGCTACCTGACTTCAAACTATACTATAAAGCTACAGTAACCAAAACAACATGGTACTGCTACCAAAACAGATATATAGACCAGTGGAACAGAACAGAGGCCTCAGAATTAACAACACACATCCACAACCGTCTTATTTTTGACAAACCTGACAAAAACAAGGAATGGGGAAAGAATTTCCTATTTAATAAGTAGTATTGGGAAAACTGGCTAGTCATATGCAGAAAACTGAACCTGGATCCCTTCCTTACACCTTATACAAAAATTAACTCAAGGTGGAGTAAAGACTTAAACATAAAACCTAAAACCATAAAAACACTAGAAGAAAACCTAGGCAATACCATTCAGGACATAGGCATGGGCAAAAACTTCATACTAAAACACCAAAAGCAATGGCCACAAAAGCCAATATTGACAAATGGGATCTAATTAAACTAAAGAGCTTCTGCACAGCAAAAGAAACTATCATCAGAGTGAACAGGCAGTGTACAGAATGGGAGAAAATTTTTGCAATCTATCCATCTGACAAAGGTCTAATATCCAGAATGTATAAGAAACGTAAACAAATTTACCAGAAAAACAACCCTATCAAAAAATGGGTGAAGGATATGAACAGACTCTTCTCAAAAGAAGACATTTATGCGGCCAACAAACATGAAAAAAGGCTCATCATCACTGGTCATCAGAGAAATGCAAATCAAAACCACAATGAAATACCATCTCACACCAGTTAGAATGGCCATCATTAAAAAGTCAGGAAACAACAGATGCTGGAGAGGATATGGAGAAATAGGAATGCTTTTACACTGTTGGTGGGAGTGTAAATTAGTTCAACCATTGTGGAAGACAGTGTGGTGATTCCTCAAAGATCTAGAACCAGAAATGTCATTTGACCCAGCAATCCCATTATGTGCACGTATTTGTTGCAGCACTGTTCACAATAGCAAAGACTGGGAACCAACCCAAATGCCCATCAAAGATAAACTGGATAAGGAAGATGTGGCACATATACCCCATGGAATACTATGCAGCCATAAAAAAGGATGAGTTCATGTACTTTGCAGGGACATAGATGAAGCTGGAAACCATCATTCTCAGCAAACTAACACAGGAACAGAAAAACCAAACACCACATGTTCTCACTCATAAGTGGGAGTTGAACAATGAGAACACATGGACACAGGAGAACATCACATACTTGGACCTGTCGGGAGGATGGGGGACTAGGGGAGGGATAGCATTAGGAGAAATACCTAATGTAGGTAACGTGTTGATGGGTGCAGCAAACCACCATGGCACGTGTATACTTAGTTAGCAAACCTGCACATTCTGCACATGTATCCCAGAACTTAAAAGTTCTGTCAGGTTTTATGTCGTTTTTGTTCACGTATGTCATAAGCTTGCTGCGGATATTGGCCACTCTTCCCTTTCACCTCTTTTCTCATTCAGTTTGGTTTTTCTCTTGTGAAGTATTTCCTTGTTATCACTGTAGGCACAATGAAAAGTAACTTTTAGTAATTCAAATTTTAAAGTTCTATCATCTGCTTAACTAAATTTTTGTTTTTGTTTTTCAGCATTGGTTGGATGGTACAAAAAGCATCAAAAAGCAAGTAAAAAGTAAGTGCTGAAAAAATTATTTGTGGGGGGAAGAGGAAATATAATATATTAGAAATTCTGATTTCTGATAGGATATAAGAAATCATGTTTTTTAAGATGAATTTAAGATGAATTTTTTTAGCATTTCCATTTTCTAGAAATCATTTTATTCTGATAAACTGAGCTACTCCCCAAGTTATATAGGCTGCATTGGGGTTTAACTTTCTAGGAGAAAACCTTGCAGCATGCAAATGGGGTTGGCTTTGCCCGAAATGCTTAACGGTTATTTGCTAATTATTTGTGTTGGAATTTTCCTGTTTGGCATCTGCCCTAGTATTGAAAATATTTTGAGACTTTGTTATATAGTATTTTAAAATTAAGAAAAATGAAACAATTCACATAAAATGTTAGTGTCATTCAGAGAGAGAATACCATTGTTTATTCATTATCCAACTTGACTTTTTTTTTTTTTTTTTTTTTTTTTTTTTTGAGATGGATCTTGCTCTGTCACCCAGGCTGGAGTGCGGTGTCGCGATCTCGGCTCACTGCAAGCTCCATCTCTCGGGTTCACGCCATTCTCCTGGCTCAGCCTTCTGAGTAGCTGGGACTACAGGCGCCCGCCACCGTTCCCGGCTAAGTTTTTGTATTTTTAGTAGAGATGGGGTTTCACCCTGTTAGCCAGGATGGTCTCGATCTCCTGACCTGCCTGCCTCGGCCTCTCAAAGTGCGGGGATTACAGGCGTGAGCCACCGCGCCCGGCCCCAGCTTGACTTTTTATCAGACTTATTAGGGCATCTCAACTCTTGTCTCAAAATTATAAGACCACTGAGATTATGGAAGTTAGTGAACTTGCTGAAGTGTATTTGTGTGGGAAGATTTCACCATGAGCAGTTAAATACGTATTCTTCAGTGTAGCAGGTTTTCAGGGCTGTTAGATTGCACAGTCAAGACTTTTATTTGATGCATTTGGCTCTGAATTGTTAGAATTAATCTAGAGCTGTCTATTGGGATGAGAGATTATAGTAATATACTATATGATGACATGGTACATTTAAAAAATTGTAATTGATCTTTTAGCATCATGTTTAAGCCTATGATCGATCTAACCTGAAATAATGCCATCAAAACCTGATCTTTTGTCTCACTTCAATAGATTTTTGACCAATTTTCTGGCTGAAAAGTATTATTTAGTTTCTTTTATTAAAACCTTTTTTTTTTTTTTAAATGACAGTTGGTTCACCCTATTGTCTGCATCTTCGAGTTAAGTTTTATTCGTCAGAACCAAATAATCTTCGTGAGGAGCTAACCCGGTAAGAACACTATTTAGAATTGTGCCAGGGGTATTTTGATAGTTTTGAAAGATTGTCTGTATATTGTTTCCAGTTTATAGCCAGCTAATAAAATGGATTCCTGTCCCCTGGTAACAGGACCTCAGATAATAGAATTTTATTCTGGGATGTGGTTTTTTTTTTTTTTTTTTTTAAGTATCACTCTCAACTCGGGAATGTTAACAAGATTGACATGTTTCAATACATTGCAATATTATATTTATTGATGTTGAAAGTAATCTATCTTTGGCCTCAGGGAGTTTATTCAGATTGGTTCTCGACTTTCTTTACTCATTGAAATGCCATTGATTAATGAAAAACATTAGATTCTGATTGGTTTGAATAGTTTTGAATAAACCTTATGTTATATATACTTATTTTAATTTTATCCTGCCTCTTTTGTGTTTATTCATAGTCTTTATTGTAAATTCATCACTCCATATACACATACTATTTATTAAATGAAAAAGTTGAGCTTTTGAGTTCCTTTAGAAGGATTTCCTCTAGAACACCTTGACAATGAGATTGTAGCTATCATCTGTAATTATATCCATGCCTGTATCCCTTCACATAAGAAGTACATGTCTCATTCTGTCATCCAGGCTGGAGTGCAATGGCATGTTCTCAGTTCACCACAACCTCTGTTCCCCCAGGTTCAAGCAGTTACCATGCCTCAGCCTCCCAAGTAGCTGGGATTACAGGCACGTGCTCCCACCCCCAGCCAATTTGTGTATTTTAGTGGAGACGGGATTTCGCCATGTTGGCCAGGCTGGTCTTGAACTCCTAGCCTCAAGTGATCCACCTGCCTTGCCCTCCCAAAGTGCTGGGATTATAGGTGTAAGCCACTGTGCCAAGCTTGTAATTAAGAATACTTCTAAGAACTAGTGTTAGATCAGTAGGGTAATTATAGTTTACAATTATGTATTTGACATTTCAGAATAGCTAGAAGAAAAGAATTCAAATATTTCTAGCATAAAGAAGAGACAAATATTTAAGGTGATGGATACTCCACATATACTAACCTGATCCTTACAAATTATATGAATGTGTTCGATTATTTCATGTATCCCCAAACTATGTACATCTTTACATTAACAGAAATAATTTTTAATAAAATAATACTTCTCAAATTAGAAGGGTAAGATTTTTTTTCACAGTAGACTGTGCTGTTGGGTTAAATTTGTGCCTTTTATTTTTCTTAGGTATTTATTTGTTCTTCAGTTAAAACAAGATATTCTCAGTGGAAAGTGAGTATTAGTTATTTAAGGATAAATGCACATTTTCATGGGTGGTTGAAAATTATTTTGAAAGTAAGTTTATGGTTGTGAAAAAGAAGTGGTCAACATAAAACATGTATTTTCATTTATCTTAAAATGAAGGTTATGAAATCAACTTGTCTAACAAACTTGTGTTTCGGTCTCAGATTAGACTGTCCCTTTGATACAGCAGTGCAGTTGGCAGCTTATAATCTGCAAGGTAAGCAATTCTTATGTTGACTGTTAAGACTCAAGTATAATCCTTTTTTGTGTGTTTTTAGTTAAAGAAGATTCTGATTATGAACAAGCAAAGAAACAACACTGTTTTTGTATAAACTTGTATCAGTGTCTAACTCTGACTTTTACTTGTTTTAGAACATTGCCTTCTTTTTCTTCTCTTTCATGTAATTGTTCCCTTTTCACCTAAAGTGTTGAAACGTCATAGTCTACCTGATAAGTCTGTGAATGTTATGATTGGGCCTTCAGCGAACTTTTTCCTTAAAAGAAATGCAGTTATATATGAGTAAATTGTTGCTGAAGCCATATAGCTTAGCAGTTCTTTCACTCCAAACCTACATTTTGTTCAGAAATAGCCACAGATGAGTATATACATGTTTGTGCATTGTTCAGATTTTTCCCTGCTGCTTCCTACCCCCGATTTTTTTAAGTTCCTTTCAGTTATTTCTTTAGGATTAATAATTTTAAAATTTTGGAAGACAGGGACTATATTTAGATTGGTATGTGGGGTCATATTCTGTGTAATCAGTATATTCTTTTGTTTTGTTTTTTTTCAGATAGGGTCTCACTCTTTTCCCCAAGCTAGAGTGCAATTGCATGATCGTAGCTCTCTGAAGCCTTGAACAACTGGGCTCAAACAATCTTCCACCTGAGTACCTGGGTCTACAGGCCATCATGCCTGGCTAATTTTTGTACTTTTTTTTTTTAAGAGACAAGGTCTTGCTCTGTTGTCTAGGCTGGCCTGAAACGATCTTCCCACCTCAGCCCCCAAAGTACTGTGACTATAAGCATGAACCACTATACCCAGCCTTAGTAATATTCTTAATAGATCCCAGTTAATTGTCTTTTAACGATTACTAAATTTTTTCAGTTGTTCACTGTGAGGTCAGAGGTATTTCTTTATGGAAGTCTAGAAAGCAGTTTTCAAAGGCTAAGCACTGAGGTGTGAATACATTAAGAGAAAGATATGTAATTAAAAATACACTGCCAACAATAAATATGAGATATATGTGTATGACTGATAGGCTAGATTTACTTTTGGAGACTTGTCTGAGTATTATGAATTTTTGCAAGAAATTCCTAAGAATCTAATCTTAGCAGTTTTCATTAATGAAATGGTTTTTGAAAGATTTAGCAGGAAATACATATAACTTTTGAAACTTATGTTTATAGCTGAACTTGGTGACTATGATCTTGCTGAGCATAGTCCTGAACTTGTCTCTGAGTTCAGGTTCGTGCCTATTCAGACTGAAGAGATGGAACTGGCTATTTTTGAGAAATGGAAGGAATACAGGTATCTGGCATTTGACCATACTTTCTTTAAAATCACCACAACAGTTATTTCATATTCATTTTCCTCTATTTCTATCATTGGTATAGAATTTATTTCATATTTATTGTTACTTTAAAAATCATTGTTTTAAATTTCAGAGGTCAAACACCAGCACAGGCTGAAACCAATTATCTGAATAAAGCCAAATGGCTAGAAATGTATGGGGTTGATATGCATGTGGTCAAGGTAAGCATTGTACCATGATGCTTTTTAAAAAATTTATTCTTTGGAGGTTCACAATGACTGTGGCATTTTTCAATATGAGGAAGGGCATGGAGTTTGCATAAGCTAGCACTGGGTACTTTGGATGTATGGTTAAAAAGTTTGAGATTAAATACCAAATGACTAGAATGTCACAGAAAGGTTCATTATAAGAAAGAAGAGAAGCAGCCAAAATCCCGAACAAGGTACTTGGTCCTTTTAAGCTGTTTATTTATTTATTTTTTGTTATAAAAAATTGTTTTAAGCTTTTGAGCCATGTGTTACCCTTTTTACTTCCTATTATATGACTAACACTGAGTAGGCTCTGTTAAAATAATTCAGTATGCAAAGTTGAAGATTTATAGCTTAAGGACTTTGATAAACTTTAGAACAGCTTTGTAGTCATTTATTTCTAGTTTAACTAGTAACAGTTTTCCAGAAAGGCAGTTGTATTAGTTCGTTCTCACACTGCTATAAAGACATAAATTTATAAAGAGGTTTAATTGGCTCATGGTTTTGTAGGCTGTACAGGCTTCTGCCTCTCAGGAGGCCTCAGGAAACTTACAATCATGGGGGAACGTGAAGGGCAGACAGGTGCATCTTTACATGGCTGGCAGGAGAGAGAGAGAGAGCAAAGAGGGAGGTGCTACACACCTTCAGACAACCAGATCTCATGAGAACTCATTCACTCATGAGAACAGCAAGGTGGAAGTCTGTCTCCATGATTCAGTCACCTCCTACCAGACCCCTATTCCGATACTGGGGATTACAATTTGACACAAGTTTTGGGTGTAGACACAGAGCCAAACCATATCGGCAGTCCTTTCCAAAATACATGATTTAAGTGGTAAGTACAATATGGGAAGAATGTGGAAACAGCTTTGTTTGTAGTGGGAGTGTAACTACCCACTTTCAGTGAAGGTACACTCTAAAACTCTAGTGTTTCCATGACTAGAAATAAAAATATATGCATAAATTTTTCTGAGAATGTTATTACGGATACTCTAATTGTTGAAAACATCTCATATATTAATATTAGCCTGTATATAATTAATACAATTCAATACAAAAATAAAATTTAAAAGATGTCAAAATGTGAAACCTGTTTTGTACAAATAAAGTTAACACATTTTTCTCCCCTTAAATTAGGCTAGAGATGGGAATGACTATAGTTTGGGACTAACACCAACAGGAGTCCTTGTTTTTGAAGGAGATACCAAAATTGGCTTATTTTTTTGGTAAGCAAGAGTTATTGTCGAAGATACTATTGTTTTGGTTTTTAATGAGTAAAACCATTTATTTAATACATAAACTAGAGTTTGGAAATCAAATAGTTTTGAAAAACTTGTCAGTGAAAGCAGCTGTCTCCTATCACACTACTACGCGTCATTTTTCCCACTCTCCAGAGGCAATTATTAAAATTCTTCTAGCTGTATTTCCCATTAGTTTCAAAGTATACCACAATATATATCTTGATATAAATATTTATGTTTTTATATGTATCAGATGTTCACATGGACACTTTCTCCCTTCATGTAGTTATGCTTTTAATATTTATTATTCCACAATCCCTTTACTCCCTATTGTGTAAGAAGAAGATGTTAATATTTTTATCCCTTCTCTAAGCTATACTCCTTATACTGTTCCAGCTTTTATTGTTCATACCTGTAAATTACATTTACATTTTACTTTTACATCAAGGATAGATTTTACTTGTATTTCTTGGCCATAATTGAGTCCACCAGGTTTTGTCTGGTATTCTAAAAGCTGAGAATCAGAGTTGTGTTTACAATAAGATGTGTCTATCAGAACTAGTACAGAGCTTAGGTGTATACTTGTGTACACTAGACAGGGACTATTGGCGCAAAGACCTTTGGTATCGAACTCAAATTCTGGCACATCCAGTTATTTTAAACATAGCCCACTAAGTCTATTTTTAGCCATTTCTGCTTTATATTGCCCATGAAACTGCACCCTGACATCTGCTGGCCATAGATAAGGCAAGCTCTGTAGGTTAAAGGACCCCAAAACCATGGCTGCCTTTCTGAGTTCTCTGACTCCGATCCCTCACACTTAACTGCTGAATGCCATCCCCTAGGCACTTAGGCCCCCTCTCAGATTCCCCTCTTGACTGAGTTTCCTTGCCCTCTTCCCCATCTGCTGGTAGCCTTGCAGCTGCTGTCTCTGGAAGGTCACCTGCTGTGAAGGACCACCCCTATCATGCAACCCTTTCCAAACACTGCTCAATAAAGCCTCTTATGCAGTACTTTTTCTTGATCAGCTCTGAAGTCCTGGAACTCACAACTGTATTACATTTCCTTTCTGTTTAGCTTTTTGTTTTTGTTCTAGAGCTTTTGTCTTCCCTATCTCACATACCCCACACATCCCTTTAAATTGCCTGCCTTTGTCTTCTCCTCAAGCTTTTTTTATCAAGGGTTGCATTAAATGGTTCTTCTGTTCCCCTTGGAACTGTTTGCTGCTCAGGTTGCTCTCCATTTTTTATCTTGAGACTTCCCTTTCCCGTGTTCTCAGCTAGGATCCTGTGTGGTCCTCCCATGATTTCCTTTTTCTTCATCCCCTCCACCCCCGCCAACTGCCTAAGTAAAGGAAGTAACTGCCTAAGAAAAGTAATTTGTTTGAATCCTTAAATGCCTTAAAATGATTTTTTGTCTTTTATTCTTTCTTGATAATTAGGCTGAGAATTGAATTTTAGGTTGAAAATTATTTCCCTCAAAAAATTGAAGGTAGTATTTCATTTAGTTTTGCATCTGGGTGTTCTTGCTAGGGACTCTGAGAGACTTCAGTTGAACACCTTTACAGTTGTCCCTTGATGGGTGAGGAACCACAGGCAATAATCTTCTCATTTCTTGGGTGTTAAATCGCCTCATGCCTCCAGCTTGTCCTGTGGGCAAATGGAACTTGCTTCCAGGCCTAAGAATGCTTTAGGCAGAGAGATAAAGAAAGCACCTTTTGTACCTTTTCATAAGGTTGTCTTGAGAGTTAATTAATACTTGTAAAGCACTTAGAAGACTACTTAGGGCAGGCCAGGTGGCTCACTCCTGTAATCCCCGCCAAGGCAGGGACTCACTTGAGGTCAGGAGTTTGAGACCAGCCTGGCCAACATGGTGAAACCCTGTCTCTACTAAAAATACAAAGATTAGCCAGGCATGGCATGGTGGCACATGCCTGTAATCCCAGCTACTCTGAAGGCTGAGGCAGGAGAATTGCTTGAACCTGGGAGGTGGAGGTTGTAGTGAGCCGAGATCACACCACTGCGCTCCAGCCTGGGTGACAAAGCGAGATTCTGTTTGCTTTCCTTCTCCTGCTATTGTTTATTTATTATTATTTTTTTAGTAAAGCTCTTGTAAAGAAGTTATGTTTTACATCTATTTTATATGTTATATTTAAAGATTGGTCAGTGAGAGTGAGTGTCACATTGTTTCAATATCCACAGTTCATGGAAATACAGAGTTCAAATGTGGTTTGGAATTTACAAGTAGGAAGATACAGTTGGAAAGTGGGCCATAAAGCGAGGTTAAAAAAATTAAGATGTATTTCCTCAAAACAAAATTCCTCTTGAAAACAGAGTTGAGGCTGGTTGCAGTGACTCACATCTGTGAGAAGACTTCCAGCACTTTGGGAGACCAGGGTGGGAGGATCACTTGAGCCCAGGAATTTGAGACCAGCCTGGGCAACGTAGCGAGATGCTGTCTCTACAAAGAATACAAAAATTAGCCTGGTGTGGTGTGGGAGTAAGGCTGAGGCAGGAGGATTACTGGAGCCTAGGAGTTCACAGCTGCAGTGATCTATGAACACACTACTGTACTCCACCCTGTGCAACGGAGTCCACCCTGTGCGATGGAGTGAGAACCTATCTGAAGCAAACAAAAAGAAAAGAGCTGGAAACTGTCATCAGTGTTTTTCTTTGTGGCTTTTTTTGGAAGCTTTATGTTCATTCCTGTGTTACTTCTCTGCTTTAACACTGAAACAATTTTACCTAGACTTAAAGAATCTCTTACACCATAATTGAGACCTATCAAATACATAGATTTCTTGGTTTCTTTTTCCTTAATATTTTTAAAGTCTGATACGTGCAGCCTCAATTTTGTCAGAGATGTTGTTTTTGAAATATGTACTGTGTTTTTCTGTTTCCTGTCTTTTGATAGGTATTGCAAATTACGCTTACCCTACTGTCAATTTTTAATGCAGGAGTTAGATGGTTAAATGTATATGAAATAAAAACAATTTTTTTCATATTTAGAGAACATTTATTTGTAATTTGGCTTTTATTCTCTTATTATATTATAGGCCAAAGATAACCAGATTGGATTTTAAGAAGAATAAATTAACCTTGGTGGTTGTAGAAGATGATGATCAGGTAGGAATGAAATTATATTACTTGTTTGACAGTGACTGTATTATGTGGTAACTTATTTCCCAAAAAGAGGGAATGTATCTCATTGTTTTATAGAGCCACAGAATGGAAACAGTATGGTCATACCATCCTAAAAATATGGTTTTCTGCCCTTAGGATGAAAAATAATACAAAAGTCTCTTCTTGTTTCTTCATTGATAATATATCTGAGGTACATAAAAAATTACATTTAAGTGACTTTTTTTTTTTTAATTTTTTTGAAGACAGGGTCTCTCTCAGTCACCCAGGCTGGAGTGCAGTGGCACTATCATAGCTCACTGCAACCTTGACCTTCTAGGTTCAAGTGATCCTCCCACTTCAGCCTCCTGAGTAGCTGGGACTGCAGGCACATGCCACCACGCCTGGCTAATTTTTTCATTTATTTGTAGAGGCAGGGATCTCAGTATGTTGCCAAGGTTGCTCTCAAACTCTGGCCTTAAGTAATCCTCCCATCTTGGCTTCTCAACATGTTGAGATTATAGGAGTAGGCCACTGTGGCAAACCAACTTTATCTCTATTTATTAACTGATCAAAAAGATCTACCTAATAATATTAATAATAAAGCCTTTTGAATTAAAGATTACCTTTGTATCAGTTACAGTGTGGTTCTTCATTGATACATGCATGGATGCAAGTCACATGCATGTATTAATGCACATCTTAATGCAAGAAGCCAGATTAAAAAAATTATGTATTGAATGATTCCATTTATATGATACTTTAGAAAAGGCAAGAAGAATTTTACTTTATGCAAATTAATACATTTTAACATATGCATACAGATATAGATAAAAGCAATTTCAGCAAAATATTAACAGTTGTTGAATCTAGACACTATGTATGTGGATATTCAGTTTTTCTGTATGTTTAAACATTTTTATAATGAAAAGATTTTTTTTTTAAGGCTTAATTCACTTTATTTTTCTTGTATAAAAACCCTATGTTGTAGCCACAGCTGGAGCCTGGGTCTGCTGCACGGAGACTCTGGTGTGGGCCTTGGCAAGGTGGTCAGTGAATTCCCAATAGGGAGACTTGGTAAACACAGTCTCCTTCCAGAGGTCAGGGGTCAGGTAGCTGTAGGTCTTAGAGATGGCATCAAAGGTGGCCTTGGCGAAGTTGCCCAGGGTGGCGGTGCAGCCCTGGGCTGAGGTGTAGCAGTCATCAATACCAGCCATCATAGGCAGCTTCTTGGGCACAGGGCACTGAGATGATGCCAGTGCCCCTGGGTGCAGGGATGAGGCGCACCAGCACAGAGCCTGTCACCTTGTAAGGGACAGTGTGGGGCTTGCCCATCTTGTTCTCCCAGTAGCCTCTGCCCACGGGGACAATGGAGAGTTTGGCCAGGATGATGGTCCCACGGATGGTGGTGGCCACCTCCTTGGAGCACTTAACACCCAGACCGACGTGGCCATTGTAGTCCCTGATAGCAACAAACTCCTTGAACCTGGTGCGCTGGCCAGCACGGGTCTGCTTCTGCACCGGCATAATCTTCAAAACCTCATCTTTGAGGGAGGCCCCCAAGAAAAAGTCAGTGATCTCAGATTCTTTAATGGGCAGGGAGAAGAGGTAGATCTCCTCCAGGGACTTGATCTTCATGTCCTTGACCAAGCGGCCCAGCTTGGTGAAGGGCATCTACTCCTTATCCTCGGCCTTGCCTGCGTGAGCTCCGTGGCCTCGGCCCGGGCCCCGGATGCCACTGCTGAAACCTCCACGGAAGCCACAGTGATTCCCCATCCCAGGGCCACCAGGGCCTCCGGGTCCCCCCGTTGCACCGGCATCATCCGCCATTTGGTGTTTTCTTGGAGAAGAAAAGATTTTTTTTTAAATCCAGTTCTTTCATTTTCCTCTCCTCGGTAATTTCACTGCCGTACTTTTCCTATTTTAAACACACAATGGAATATCATGCAGCCATAAAAAAGAATGAGATGTTTTTTGCAGGAACATGGATGGAGCTGGAGGATATTATCCTTAGCAAAGTAATGCAAGAACAGAAAACCAAATACTACATGTTCTTAGTTACAAGTTGGAGCTAAATGATAAGAAATTATGGACACAAAGAAGGCAAGAACAGACACTGGGGTCTACTTGAGTAGGGAGGGTGGGAGGAGGGAGAAGAGTAGAACTGAGAGATAACTGGGCTTAATACCTGGGTGATGAAATAACATGTACAGCAAACCACCATGACACGTGTTTACCTGTGTAACAAACCTCTTGTACCCTAAACCAAAAATAAAAGTTAAAAAACAAAAAAAGAGTGCTGCTGTGGACACTAAGGTGTGTGTGTGTATTTAGCCAAACCTCTTTCCAAAGTATTTAATACGAGGGTATACTCCCACCAGCAATGTTATTGGTGGTTTTTTTTTTTTTCCGGAATCCTGTCTCTCTCATTTTAGCCATTCTTGTGGAGTAGAATGTGGTTTTAGTTTGTGTTCTCCTAATGATGACTCTGGTTTAGTACTTACTTACTTTTATGAAATGCCTACTCAAATCTTTTGCTCATTTTTCTATTAGGTAATGTGCCTTGTATTCATTGAAAAAATTATATGTTCTGGATATTAGTTCTTTGTCAGGTATTAGTGTTGCAATATCGTCTGCTCCTTGGCTTACCCTTTTTCCACTACTTTTATTTTTAGATGACATGTAATAATTGTACATATTTATTGTATACAGAGTGATGTTTTGATACATGTATACAATGTGTAATTATCAAATCAGGGTAATCAGCGTATCCATCTTTACTGTCTTAATAGTATCTTTAAATAACCTGAAAAGTACCAAAAATTATAAAATAGATAACCATCTTATTTAGGATCTAGATTTAACATTTTTTACATTGGGCTTTAGATCTCTTTTAGAAACAGATAAATACAATTATGTACATGAATAAATAATACCAACTAAAGTCTAACCCCCTGACTACCTACCTCCTTTCTTCTGGTACCTGGTCACTATTTTTGGAGGGTATTATTCTCATATATATTTTGTAACTTTTTCCAAATATTAACACATCTTAGAATTGTTAAAAACTTGCATAATTATGTATATTTGCAGCTTGCCTGTTTTATCTAAATGTGTACATATGTAGATCTAACATATATATGGTATTGTGTAATATGAATAAACAATAGCACATTCATTCATTCATCATTTATTCACTTACCCCTCTGTATAATTTTTTACATATGCTGCTATTTAGTTGACCATTTCTCTTTTTTTGGACGTTTAGGGTTTGTGCCAAGTTTTACTATTATAAATGAGACTGAGGAAATATATATCTTCATATATAACTTTTGATGTTTAGGAAATAATTTTCCCTAAAGAGGCAGTATGACTTAGGTGTTAGAGGTGCGTGTAGATTCTGGAGCAAGGCTAATGGTTAAGTTCATTTCTGGTTTTCTTTCTTAATAGCTTTGTGACTTTGGGCTTAATTTCTTTGAGCCCCAGTTTCCTCATCTATGAAATGGGGCTAATGATAGTATCTACTTATTGAGATAATTTATGTGAAATCCTTAGAAAAATTTCTATGTGAATGTTAACTATTATAATTAGACTCCTGGTAGTGTGGTTACTAGGACAAAAATGTGAGCATTTTTAGGGCTGTCGATATATACTGCCAGATCTCATATGATCCCTCAAATTATAATTATACAGTTATCCCAAATAATGGCAGATGAAATCTCAAGTCTCTCTGACAAATGAGATCATGTAAGTAGAGGGGAATAACTCTTAGGAATAATTTTGTATTGGCTGAGAAAATGAACAACTTGATTTCAACTCTGCCCTTATTATGTCGATACGGTAAAGAGTGTCTGAATTTCAGGGAGCACACTAGATCCTTTATTCATGGATGTGTTTGTAGCTCAGAAATAGGAGATAGGACTGTTTGAACTAGTAATCATCCTTTTATATATCTCTTCTTTTTCAGGGCAAAGAACAGGAGCATACATTTGTCTTTAGACTGGATCATCCGAAAGCATGCAAACATTTATGGAAATGTGCTGTGGAGCATCATGCCTTCTTCCGCCTTCGAGGCCCTGTCCAAAAGAGTTCTCATCGATCAGGATTTATTCGACTAGGATCACGATTTAGATATAGGTTAATTTTAATAGCTGTTTTATCTATCTTTCATTGCATACAGTCCAAAAAATTTAGGCCAACCTTTTCATTTTTACAGATTAGGTAGAGAGGAATAAAGTGGTTTGCCAGCGTCTTCCATTGACCAAAATGAAATAGAAAAAGTGGTATTGTTATTGGTTATAATTTCTCGATTAGATGGGAAAACAGTAATTGTATAATGGCTTTTATATCCCTCTGGATGTTTATTTTATATATTAACCCACTCCCAATTTATCTATTTAACAAGAGTCTTATGGACTCTTCACCCAACACTGGATACCATATAGAAAAGGGTTTCTTGCACTGAATGAGATATTAGTCTGGATAACATTTGTGGTCCTTTATAAGCCTGAAGTTCATTATTCTCATGACTCCTTGTTTGTTGTCATGAGTTAGAAATGTTTTGGTTTACTGGAGAGTGGATTATTGGTTGTGAGTGTTCTGCATGCCATGGAAATCAGTTACAGAAGGAATGGATTATTCCAATAATGTGGCAAGTTGATTGTGTGGAGTTAATAGAAGTAGTATTCTGTTCTACTTATGTTAAAATAAGGAGGCATTTTCTGAACAGAATTTAAATGGAAGTCAAGGAGAATAAGACATTAGTCTTAAAAAACATTTCTGGAAAATTACACTGAAAAGTGTGTATCACAATTAGAAAAAGTAACTGAAAATATTCTTTTAATTACACACTTTGCACTGAGGAATGTAGATGGGAAAGAGAGGGAGTTTCCATAAAAGGACAAATATTCCAAACTTATTTAATGTGTACTTAGGTGATATGCATACATACAAGAAAAATAAAACCAACATAATCTGTTGCATAGTTCACAAAAGCCTAAAGAGTGAAAGAATGATATGGTAAAGAGAGAGATCAAGACTATTAGTAGTTGCTCCTGTGGGATGAAGTTTAGGATGATTCTTTTCAGGAGAACCTGAATGTAGACTGTCTTATTTGTGTGTGCTTTATTGCTGTAGACCTAAAATGTCCCTTCTGTTATGCCTCATTTAGTGGGAAAACAGAGTATCAGACCACAAAAACCAATAAAGCAAGAAGATCAACATCCTTTGAAAGAAGGCCCAGCAAACGATATTCTAGACGAACTCTACAAATGAAAGGTGAAGTGCACACCTCTTTCAAAGGATTATTTTTCCTTGACAGTTAATTATGTGCTGGTGTTGTTTCCATAAGAGGAAGTTACGTCAATCTCCTCTTCAGGTCTGTTCCAGTCAACTAAAGTACTTTCCTGGCAGAATCAATTTCATGGGATACATAGAGAAAAATTGCCTGTATTGTTAGCAGAGATTAAACTTTATATTAAGCCCAATTCAAATGATAGTCTGAGGTTGTGTTCAGTTTTTGTATACAAAACTGTGTTTCTGTAGAGCAACATATTCTCTCCCTTTTTGACTTATAGATCTCATTCTAAAACATCCTTTAATCCCCTTAGGAATTTTTTTAAATATTATTTTTATTCATTTATTTATTTTGAGATAGTCTCACTCTGTCGCTTAGGTTGGAGTGCAGTGGTGTGATCTCAGGTCACTGCAACCTCCACCTCCCAGATTCAAGTGATTCTCATGCCTCAGCCTCCTGAGTAGCTGGGGTTACAGGCATGTGCCACCACTCCTGGCTCATTCTTGTATTTTTAGTATAGACGGAGTTTTGCCATGTTGGCCAGGCTGGTCTTGAACTCCTGACCTCAAGTGATCTGCCCACCTTGGCCTCCCCAATCCTAAAAGGATTACAGGCATGCCTGGCCAAAACATTGTCTTGTGATGAATTTTTTTAAGTAAAATTTATTTCATATTGTATTATAATATTAAGGATTCTATTAAATACTGTTTTAAAATATATTCATCATTGTTACACATAGACATTTCCTAATTCATAATTGTTACTTGCTGATTAAGATCGATTATATAAGAAAAAGCATTGTTTACCTTGACAAATAAATTAAACCTTGTGTTTGGTTTTAAACTGAATTTGCATTAAAATGCAAATTTAATTTTAAGTATTTCCACTGTCAGAGTCATCACGAGTTGTCCAAAAACAACTGTAATGATCTGATGTTTGGCAGTATTGACTTTTTTATAAAAATGATTTATACTCATAAGTTTTGGTGTGGCTATAAATTAAGTATACAGCTATAAATGAATTGTGATGATTTTAAAACCCTAAGTTTCCTCTTGGTTTCCACTGATGATAATTCATAATCTGTCAGCTCACTCTGGAGGCTTACAGATCGGTTCTGTTTAAAAGGTGGAGATATATATGCATTCTGTTGCTTTATTTGAAAAATGAAAATAATTGCCATTGTTGACTTTATGGTGTGAACCCCAAGACACTTTGGTGAATTGAAGATTTTTAGATTTATGGTTGGGGCCAAATGTGGTGGCTCACACCATTAATCCCAGCACTTTGGGAGGCCAGCGTGAGAGAATTGCTTGAGCCCACAAGCTCAACTCTCAGGAGTTCGAGACCAGCCTGGGCAACAGTAGTGAGACCCACCCCTGTCTCTACAAAACATGAAGACCCTTTCTCAAAGAAAGAAATGTGTGGTTGTGAAACATGGCTTATAAAGCAATTCAAGTTTTGCTTTGAATAGTGCAGCAGTTTATCATGTAAGATGAAACTAATGAGGTGTTATCTTTTTTCTTCTGTTAGCATGTGCTACAAAACCTGAAGAACTTAGGTAAGTAATGTTTTGCAATTTAGAAATTGATATAGAATGTTTGGAATTTATGTAGTTGCTATCATTAAGCAAATATTTAAGACCTATCAAAATGTCGGTTTGTCCCTAACGCACCATGGATATATCAGGGAATAAATAAACATGTAATGCCAGATAAAATTGACATGATGAAAAATTAGAGCAGTTTAAGGAAGTAAAGAATGGGGTCGGGACAGATGAGCCATTCATGAAGAGAATAACATACATTTGTTATTGGCAAGTGGCTGAGGATCTAAAGATAAATTATGATCCTTGTACATAAGGAGCGCAAAGAACAAAGTTGATTTGCAAATAAGCAATTTTATTCCTGGGATAAATCCCACTTGGTTGTGGTGTATAGTCCTTCTTTGTGTTGTATGTTGCTAGATTTCATTAGCCTAGTATGTTTTTGGATTTGTGTGTCTATTCATCAGAGATATTGGCCTGTAGTTTCCTTACAGTGTCATTATCTGGTTTTTTATGTGGGGTGGGTAATACTGGCTTTACAAAATAAGTTTGTGTGTGTGCCTTCCTCTCTATTTCTTGGGAAGAATTTGTAAATAATTGATATTAATTATTTAAATGTATGGTAGAATTCACCATTAAAGCCATCTTTCTCTTTATGTGAAGCTTAAAAATTCTTGTGAGAGATCTATTCAGATTTTCTTTTCTTCTCTTTCTTTTGGGGTGGTGGTGGTGCAGGGCCTACCTCTTTCACCCTGGCTACAGTCCAGCAGCTTGAGCATGGCTTGGCTCACTGGAGCCTCACCCTCCTAGGCTCAAGCAATCCTTCTAGGCACTTGCCATCATGCCTGGCTAATTTTTAAATTTTTTGTAGAGATGGGGCCTCCCTGTGTTGCCCAGACTAGTCTCAAACTCCTGGGCTCAAGCAATCCTCCTGCCTCCGCCTCACATCTTGCTGGGATTACAGGCATGAGCCACAGCACAGGGCCCTCCCTGATTCTCTTTTTCTTCTTGATTCAGTTTGGGAGTTATTGTCTTTCTAGAGTTTATCTGTTTTATCTGTGGTATCTAGTTTGTTGGCATACAGTTTGTATTCCCTTTTCCTTTATATTTCTAAAAGGTCCATAGTAATATCTCCTCATTCCTTTCTGATTTTTAGTATTTTGAGTTTTTTTTTTTTCTTGGCTAGTATAGCAAAAGGTTTGTCAATTTTGTTGACCTTATCAAATAGAACCAGCTTTTGGTTTCATTGATTTTTCTGTTTTTCTTTTTCATTAATTTTTGCTCTATATTATTTTTTCCTTCTGCTTGCTTTAGGTTTACTTTGCTGTTTTTCTAGTATCTTAAGGTGGAAGATTAGGTTATCTGAGATATTTATTTTTTAACATTTAAAGATATTAAATTTCTTTTCAAGCACTGCTTTAATTCAATAAGTTTTGCTATGTTGTGTTCTTGTTTTTTGGTTGTCTCAAATTATTTTCTAACTTGTGATTTCTTCTTTGACTTGTTTGATTACTTAGGAGTGTGTTGCTAAATTTCCATGTATTTGTGAACATCAAAATTTTATTTTTTTCTAAATTTATTCCATAATGAGTAGAGGCCATACTTTGTATGATTTCAGTCCCTTTCAACTTAATGAGACTTGTTTTATGGCCCCTCCATATGAGTAACCCAGGAAAATAGTTTATGTGTACTTAAGAAGAGTATATATTTTGCTGTTTCTGAGTGGAGTGAGTGTTTTATAGATGTGTGTTAGTTTATTGTGTTCAGATCTTCTGTTTCATTGTTCATCTTTTGCCTAGTTTTAATCCGTTTTTGAGAGTGGAGTATTGTAGTCTACAACTATTGTCTATTTCTCCCTTCAGTTTCTTTCTGTTTTTGTTTCATGTATGTTGTGAATTTGGGGTAGATATGTATGTGTTGATAATTGTTATAGTATACTGATGGACTATTCTTTTTATTGTGATAAAATGTTCCTTTTTATGTCTAGTAACTTTTGTTTTAAAGTTGACTTTATTTGATGTAAATATTGCCAGTCCAGTTTTCATATAGTTGCTTTTCCATGATATAACCTTTTCATCAAGTCTGGAAGTTTTCACCCATTATTTCTCTAGATATTCTTTATGCTCTCTTTCTCTTCTCCTTCTGAAATTTTCATTAACATGTAAGTTGTTACACTTGATGGTTTCCTACAGGTCTCCAAGTCTGTTCACTTCTCTTTATACTTTTTTTCCAGACGATGTAATCTCACTTGACCTGTCTTCAAGCTTACTGATTCTTTTACCTACTCAAATCTGCTATGGAGCACCCCCTTTGTTAATTTATTTCTGCCACTGTATTTTTCAATTCCAGAATTTCTCTCTGGTTCTTTTTTATAATGTCTACGTAATGATACCCTCAATTTGTGAGACACAGTTGTCATACTTTATTTCTTTAGATGTGGTTTCCTTAGTTCTTGAACATATTTAAAATAGATGATTTAAACTATAGAGAACTAGAGGAGTATTAGCCCCATCTTCTTTGCTGCACCCACCAGAAGTAGAGCTACCACCACACCAAGGTTGGAAAAAAGGGACAGAAAAGCAAATTGTGGATCAAATGTCACAGACTTAGGCCTTAATGAGATTTAGTAGATTTTCTTGAATAAATGATTCTCCACTTGGTGTGTGCCTTTTAATGATTTTTTTAAAAATGGCGGGGCGAGGAAGCTGGGTGCAGTGGCTCACGCCTGTAATCCCAGCACTTTGGGAGGCCAAGGTGGGCAGATCACGAGATCAAGAGATCAAGACCATCCTGGCCAACATGGTGAAACCCTGTCTCTATTAAAAATACAAAAATTAGCTGGGCATAGTGGCAGGCGCCTATAGTCCCAGCTACTTGGGAAGCCGAGGCAGGAGAATCACTTGAACCTGGGAGGCGGAGGTTGCACTGAGCCGAGTTCGTGCTATTGTGCTCCAGCCTAGGCGATAGAGCAAGACTCCGTCTCAAAAACAAAAACAAAAAAGCAAAAAACAAAAACAAAACTAGGGGGCCAGGCATGGTGGTTTATGCCTCTAATCCCAGCACTTTGGGTGGCCAGAACGGGAGGATTGCTTAAGCCCAGGAGTTCCAGACCAGCCTGGGCAACGTGGTGAAACCCCATTTCTACAAAAACCACAAAATTTAGCTGGGTGTGATGGCACCTGCCTGGGGTCCCAGGTACTTGGGAGGTGGGAGAATCACCTGAATACAAGAAGTCGAGGCTGCAATGAGCCATGATTGCACACCACTGTACTCCAACCTGAGCAATGGAGTGAGACCCCATCTCAAAAGCAAAACAGAATTCTTTTTCTGGGCTGAGCGCAGTGGCTTATGCCTGTAATGCTAGCACTTTGGGAGGCAGAGGTGGGCGGATCACTTGAGGCTGGGAGTTTGAGACCAGCCTGGGCAAAATGGCCAAACCCTTTCTCTACAAAAAATACAAAAAAAATTAGCCACATGTGGTGGCGTGTGCATGTAGTCCTCAGCTACTTAAAGGATGAGGCAGGGGGATTGCTTGAGCCAGGGTGGCGGAGACTGCAGTGAGTTGAGGTCGTGCCACTGCACTCCAGCCTGGGTAACAAAGTGAGACCCTGTCTCAAAAAAAAAAAAAAGACAAATTTTTTCTTTGTTTGTTTTTTGAACCACTTAAATGTTTGTTTCACTGGGGAGAGTATCTGCTTTTGTTTTCAAGTTACCATTCTGAAGGTCTTGCTTCTGATGGCTCCATTATTTTAATTAATTAATTAATTATTTTTGAGACGGAGTCTTGCTCTGTCACCCAGGTTGGATTGCAGTGACGTGATCTTGGCTCATTGCAACCTCTGCCTCCCGGGTTCAAGTGATTCTCCTGCCTCAGCCTCCCAAGTCGCTGGGATTACAGGCATGCACCACCATGCCCACCTAATTTTTTGGATTTTTAGTAGAGACAGGGTTTCATCATGTTGGCCAGGCTGGTTTCAAACTCCCTACCTCAAGTGATCTGCCTGCCTCGGCCTCCCAAAGGGCTAGGATGACAGGTGTGAGCCGCCACACCCGGCCGGCTCCATTAATTTTAGTATTATTTATTACAATGAGTCTATAGTCTCGTATAATGCTTAACAATTGGTATGTATTAGAGTCTCCTAGAATGCCGGTTAAAGATAAGATTCAGACCAGACCCACAAATCTAGTTTATTTTTGAATTTGTCTGTACTCTTATATGGCAGGTGTCTCACTAGACCTTTTTTGAAAGAAGTTGGTTATTTTTGGATGTTGAGTATCATCAGCCTCACCTTGAAATGTCCTTTTTTTTTTTTCACTTTGAAAGCTGTTAAAGCCAGTCCATGATTAGTGATTGACTATAGTAGCACTCTGCTTTTTGAACAAGGACTTCCCTCAAGTTTCTTTAGCTGTCAATAGGCTGTTGAAAATAAATAAATAAATAAATAGAACAGGGAGGAAGTGAAATTTCTGTGAGATTCTCCGTGAAATTTTTATTGGTTAAAAAACAACATTTTGTGCCTTTTCTGTGCTGTATACTTTTATTTTTCTTGGATTTGTTTATAAGCTATGCTTTTCAGAAAAGTGGAGTAATGGCTGGGAGGGGTGGCTCATGCCTGTAATACTAAGACTTTGGGAGGCCAAGGCAGGCAGACCACCTGAGGTCAGGAGTTCGAGACCAGCCAGGCCAACATGGCAAAACCCCATCTCTACTAAAAGTACAAAAATTAGCTGGGTGTGGTGGCGCATACCTGTAATCCCAGCTACTCTGGAGGCCGAGATAGGAGAATTGCTTTAACCCTGGAGTCGGAGGTTGCACTGAGCCGAGATTGCACCACTGCTCTCTAGCCTGAGTGACAGAGCGAGACTCCATCTCAAATAAAAAAAAAAGAAAAAGAAAAATGGAGTAATATTTGAGATTTTTCTTTATCTTTGAAACTATTTTGTTTATTTAATGGATTATGGCTTGCTTTCCTGGAAAGGAGGCTGGGATATGGAATATTAGAGCTTAAAGTAAAAAGTGAGTACCTGCTAAAGTTAGCAGAAATGTGAACAAAGTATTCAGCAATTATACATAGTTGAAAAATTAAGGCTTTTATTTGCAAAAATAGGAGGATTTTCTTTAAGATGTTCTGAAACACATTTCCGGTAAAAAAAAAAAAAAATTGAATATATATAGTGACTGTTTTGGAATTATGGTTAATTTAACTTTAATGGCTAAATGTTAGTGTCTCTTCATTAGTGATGCTTTTGGCTCTGGAAAACATAGCAGAAATGGCATATTTAAGGAATGATTTTTTTTTAGACTAGACTTTTAGAAATGAGATGTAGAGGAGGACCCAACTCTCCTGAAGGGTATTGAGCACCACCCATCGCAGTGCTTGAGAAAACCTGAGCTCAGACTGGCATGTTGTATGCCCTTTTACTCTTGCCCTTCCAGTTCTGTTTGTATGAACCGTTTTGCTCCATTGAACCGTGGAAAACAGTACTGTTTGAAAAGGCACAACTAGACCTGAAAAGCTTCTCAACCTTATATTCTGCAGTTTTGTAAAATGCCCATTTGAATAACAGATTTTTTAATTGGCTAATGTCAGTCATTTTTCTTGTACTATTTTGGCTCCTAACTACTCTTGTGAGTCATGAATACTATATAGTATTTTAAGAGGTGATGTTTAAAGGGTAGTTGACATTTCAATTACTGGTACGTCTTACACAGGCTTAATATGCAGTCTTGAAGACAGGAAAGAGGAAAAGAAAAAATGGTAGAGGAAATCAAATGAGTAGAAGGTATACTATGTAAAGGCAAAAGGGTCAGTTATTTTATCTAGTCCTTTAAAAAGGGAAGTTTGAACTAGATTAGTAATGAGAAATAATTCAGTAATTCCTTAATACTCATGGAAGTGAAAGAATGTATATAATTATCAGAAAATAATGCTTTCTGTATTTCAGACAATTAAAACAGGAAGCTATGATTCAATTAACATCACTTATAAGTATTTTGTTCTCATGTTATTCTTATTGATCACCTACTATAGTTATTTCTAGTTAAAGGCAAAGCTTCCGAGAATAACTAAGGGACCATGGACTAGTAAGTCTAACTTCTGTACTAAGCAGGCTGGGTGAGATTTCATTAAGGCTTAGGATCATGAGTATTCTAGGAAGAGCAACATGGTTAGTAAAAAGAAATTGTACCTGATGGGTATAATCTTTAACATTGCCATGGCAGTGAATCTACACTAAATTGTTTTATTAATTTATTTATTTATTTTTGAGGGAGGGGTGGTGGTGGTTTTTTGTTTGTTTGTTTTGTTTTGTTTTTGAGACAGGGTCCACCCAGGCTGCAGTGCAGTGGCATGATCATGGCTCACTGTAGCCTCAACCTCCTGGGATCAAGCAATCCTTCTGCCTCAGCCTCCAAAGTATATGAGACTGCTTCAGGCACACACCCCAACACGTAGCTATTTTTAAGTTTTTTGTAGAGCTAGAAGTCTGGCTCTGTTGCCCAGGCTGGTCTCAAATCCCTGGGCTCAGGCATCCTCCTGCCTCGGCCCCTGAGAGTGCTGGGATTACAGGCATAAGCCACCATGCCTCACCAATAGTATTTCTTTTAAAGGTATTTTTTTGTTGTAATCGCTATTATTTGTATTTCGCTAGTATTAACTCATTTAGTCGTTCTAACAGTCCCATGCAAGTGAGTAACCCAAGGTGTACAGAGTAGACCTAATGACACAGCTTGGCTTTGAACCCAGACAGTGATAATGCAGGTTATGGTGACTCAACTTGTAATTGATCTGTAGTTCTTAAAAAAATGGAATATAAAATGTGTTCACTCTTCATTCCCCAGCTTTTTAGCAGGGCGTCTCTTCATTCTTCGGTTCTTAACTGGTTGGCTTTCATTATCAGGTAGTGGTTGGCTTTCATTATCAGGTAGCCTTGTTAGAAAGGCTTCTGGATACTCTATTCAGAGGTTGTATTTGAGAGCTTTGCCTGTTTCCTTAGTAGAATGACATGTTGGCTGGTTATAAAATAATATTCTTGATTATTGCTACGGGAGGTCTTTGCCAACCTGATAATTGGTAGGGATTTGCTTTTAAATCTGCTCGGGGTACCTGAAGTATTCCTTCCTTATCCTTGAAGATTAGTGGCTGAACAATAAGGGATTGATTGTATTTCATTTTCTGTCTCTTTTTCCTGAAACACAGTGCTGTCATTAAATCTGTAAATTTTTTTCTCACTTTCAAGGAATTTTTTTAATCTTTGAATTATTTTTTATGTTAGTTGAATTTCTTACTTCAAGGATACCATATATCCTTGTTTTCGAATGTCTGACATTAGGAAACCTTTTTTCTCATTTCGTTGTGAGTTATAGTTCATCTTTGAGTTTTTATTTTATTGATTTTTTTTTTCTGCTGTTCTGTAGTTTCTATTTTTTTTCTGTATTATAGGTTGAGGGTTTTTTCAAGTGCTTTTTGTGGGGATAGCAGGGTGGGGATGGGTACAAACTAAACTGAGTTTGTTTTTTTTGTTTGTTTGTTTGTTTGTTTTTTGAGATGGAGTCTGGCTCTGTTGCCCAGGCTGGAGTGCAGTGGCGCAATCTCGACTCACTGCAAGCTTCGCCTCCCGGGTTCACGCCATTCTCCTGCCTCAGCCTCCCAAGTAGCTGGGACTACAGGCGCCTGCACCACGCCAGGCTAATTTTTTTGTATTTTTAGTAGAGATGGGGTTTTACCGTGTTAGCCAGGATGGTCCCGATCTCCTGACCTCATAATCCGCCCACCTTGGCCTCCCAAAGTGCTGGGATTACAGACGTGAGCCACCGTGCCTGGCCTAAACTGAAAATTTTAAAACGTGTTTATAAGTCATTTGGAGAGGAAGGTGTACACATAGAATTTTCAAACTTTCTAAACCTTTTATACTAAGGCCTTTTGAGTTGTAAAATGCTGAGTTGTTGCCGACACTGGAAAATCTTGAGGGTAGGAATATACAAAAGAAGTGACAGTTAAGTTTATGTGGGTCTTGTGTTGCTGTCTTTGTTAGGTCATCCTTGACAGCTGTCATCCAATGAATAAACATTAGTTGCGAAGCATACCTCTAAAGCATGATTAAAATACAGGTATATGGAAACATCAAATGAGCAACTATAGAAAAGCAAGTATTTGCCTATAAGAACAAGTGTTTTCGGGTATCTGACATTCTTAGTTTTAGGTACCAGCAGTAGTTTTATTCTTTATTTGAAACAAAATGTTAATATCTTTAAAATAAATATTTTGTTAGTGTATGTGTCATCTTACAAAGTGAAGTCCTGAGATTTCATATAGAATTTTTAATAGATTTTTTCCCCCATTACAGTGTTCACAATAATGTTTCGACCCAAAGTAATGGCTCCCAACAGGTAAGACAACATTAAGTTTCTAAAACACCGGATCACCGGTTTATTATGGTAACAGTAGTACTATTGATTGGATTTTCATAGTGGTGTATGTAACCTTGCACAAATTTTGTGCATTTTCTTTTCCTTTTCCCTTAAGTGGTTCAGTAATAACTTCCTGTTATTTTTTCTCTGAGATTTTGTAAATGAAACAGCTGCTGTATAACACTTTCTGTCACTGTGAATCCAAGAACATAATTTAACTGATTACTAATATTTCATTCATTAACTATCTCTGAGGTGGTATATAAAATTCAAGCATTTGTTTACATTTTATTTGTTGGCTTTGTAAATAGTACTCCATTTTAGTATTTGTTGATGAAGAGATCTGTTACCTAGGCAAAATAGATAATTTTTATAATTTTTGTCCGAAGGCTTGGGGGATGAGATCTGCTCTGCTTGTGAGTCCTTCCATTTCCTCTGCTCCTGTGCCAGTGGAGATAGAGAATCTGCCACAGAATCCTGGAACAGACCAGCATGACAGGAAATGGTTTGTTAATTCCTTAAACTAAAATAAAATATTGCCTACTTAATTGTATTCAGAATTCCAAGCCGTAATCTTAAAGTACTTTAAATATGATTGAAAGCAAATTATTCATATTTGTGAGCTGGAAAGCATGTTATTAAATAATCATATTGAGATGGGGAAAATAAGGATGTTGGTGATAAAGGGAGTACAGTTGTCTAAATGAAGACCATCAGACAGCTGTCCTTATTATTTATTTGAAACAAAACATTAATACATTTAAAATAAATCTGCTCTTATTAGCTTGATGTGGTAGTGGTGGATGACTCTCTGTTGAAAAAGACAGTAGAATATTTTCCCAGGTCCATAAGGAAAGTATATCCACTACATGTTATTCCAGACAACATAATGCTGCTTCGAATATGTTTTCCTCATTAAAGACAGAGGGTAAAGTCAGAAGCGAAACATGATTAAAATCTGATAAACCATGAGATACCCTAAGGAGACTGAGAGAGAATCTGGTGACAGGAAAAGTATACTTTAATTATTTAGACTTCTAGCGTTTTTTTTAGATTAATAGTAAATATACAAGTATGGATACTTTGTGTCTTATTGGAGTTAGTCACTTGAGTTTATCCTTTCCCAAATAAATATATGTGGCTTGGTGGGGGCTTCTTGGGGATTATTTGATTCAGTGGTCATGTTGGGTGTATTACCTGTTCAAGTTATTTTTCTGTTTGTGAAATGAATTTTGATAATTCATAGGATTTTTCTCTTTTTCTTTTGCTCTTAGTTTGTGTAGTACCTGAAATCTAATGCATTTCTGTGGTGATCTCAAGGTTTTGGTCAGCTTCCTTCATGGTGGTGGGTCAACAGTGGTTGGTGATTATTTTCAGTCTTTGCTATGTAATTATTTTTCACTGTTATTTTGGCTTAACTAACTGCAAGGTGCCTTGCTCTTGATATTTGGGCATATTTTTACTTCAGTTCCAAATAACTTGCGATTAGTTTATAAGATTGAGTTCTCTTCCCCGGCCCCATTTTCTCCTTTTTATTTTGTTTCTATATGGGTGTGTGTGGTGGTGATACTTTGTGTATATTTGTGTGCATCTGGGTACACACCTAAAAGCGTAAAGAGCGAGGCTTATAAATGTCAAATTTATTTTTTAAAGTCATTTTTAGAAAGTGTCTTCAATTTCTTATGGAAAACACAGCTCCTGTAAGCAGTTATGTTTTATCTCATTGATGTTACCACCAACTTCTGTTTGCAAGGAAAAATAGTACTGAGACTTCAGCTGTAAAAGAGGTGTCTTTTATATGTTTGCCATTCACATTCATATGGAATGAGGGTCTAATTAGTTGGCATACTATATTACAACACTGAATCTGAGTTTTTCCATATTAATAGGTACATATTTAAATCTGTTTGATTTTATTTGTTAGGTACTACTTGGTTTATTTGATGCATCCTTTAGAAAGAGCATTGAATTTATTAAATTTTAAGGAAAATGAAAAATTTGGAGCTGTGTGTTTTCCTTTCTTTATGTGGTTGTGCTGAGACCTCCTTTGCTGAAATAGAGTAAAGTGGTGCTCTTTATAACAAAATAAGCCTCATGTCAACAAGGGCATGGAACTGAATATAGAGCTGGCATGTTTTGGAGATAATGGACTCTTCCGCCTTAATTTCAAATGTGCTTTGCATTTCATTCTTTTTTCTGCATGCTTTGATTCTCGTTAATGCTTTCAAAACAATATAAAGCAGTCCTCCTTTAGAAAGTGATAAGTGGTTAAAATTTGGAAGTGCGTCCTATGTTTGAACAATTGGGCAGAATAATGGACCATTCTATTTCTGGCAGATAACTTTCAGCCAGTTTAATCTAAACCTACTCCCTGTTCGAGTCTTCAGCATTTTTTTTTGCTGGTATCTTTTAAATGACACCATTATTAGAGTGAATGATTTGGCATATCAGTAGCTTAGAATAATCAAGTATTTAAAATTTCACATTTTGAGAAACAATTCATGTATTGTAAACCCACAAATCATTTGTAAGCAACAACAGAAACAAAACTGAACAGTGTTTAGAAAATCTTGCATTGATAGGGGAGAACATAAACCTAATTTAGTTTTCTAAATTTTTAGAGACCATAACTTGAGGGTTGTGATTTTTGTGAGCCAGGTCTGGTGAACAAATTGTATTTCAGTTAAAAGAAAGATGATTTTGTTATAAAAAAGCCTTCCAAGTTTGTTTTGAAAAATTATTTTAATTTCTTTACAGTTTCCCTAAGGGAGAAAGGTAGAGATTAATGTTTTGGTTGAGTTAGAAAGATAACACTTATTAAAAATGTATTTTTGCACATATTTTATATTTGGGGTGGTATTTTCCTTTGTAGTTATTTTAAATATGTGCTACCCTTTCTGCCATGTCACCAGACTTTGATTTGCTTTCTTTCTACTGGAGGACTCTGATCACTTCTAACCAAGAACTGCATGTATGCATGTTTCAGTCTTAGAATTCTATAGGCCTTTTCTATAGCACTGTGATAAAAGGTGCCTAATATGCTTACTAAACTACTTCTTGGAGAAGGGTGTATCATCTCATCACATTATCTGTACCTGTTGAATTTCATTTTGAGATCTTGTGACCTTTGATTATATAAGGAGCGATGATTCTCTGTTGTTAATTGGGAACATTGATGTAAAATTACATGACCTCTGAAGGTAGATTTTTTATTTTTAGTGCTCTGTCTGAATTTTGTTCCCTGGGTTTCAGTTCTGTGAAATCTCATAATTTAAGGAAGAATTTTCAGTTTTCCTTTTCCATACATACTTTTGTCCTTATGTAGAGTTCTTTTTTCAAATATTTGAAGTAAGTAGATTATGAATATTTTTTTCTTCTGATTAAAACCCCTAACAACATTTCTGCTTTTAGTGTTAGTAACATCAGGGACAGATACAGAGTGTCTTGCTTTCTGAGAAATTTATTCTTTAATTCACTTAACTGAGTCAGATTACTTACATGTATTTCCATATTGGTATTTTTCATTACATGTAACTTTGTGGATTTCCCCCACTTTGTTATTCTTGAATGTTACCTTTGCATGGAGTAGATGTTGTTAACTACTCATAGCAGCAGTGCATGCTAGTGACATTACCTTTCGCCTTTATTATCTCTTACACATCCATTTTCTCCTATTCCTATTGACTAACTGTGCTCCCCTCCCACTCCCCAACCATCCAGGCTCTCTGCTGCCAGTGACTGCTGTCAACGTGGTGGAAACCAGTGGAACACAAGGGCCTTGCCCCCACCCCAGACCGCACATAGAAACTACACTGACTTTGTTCATGAGCACAGTGTGAAGAATGCAGGAATCCGTCATGATGTTCATTTTCCTGGCCATGCAGCCATGACTGAGATATGAGTGTTGAGCCTGTTAGGCATTGGGACTCTTTGTCATGCAAGTTGATGGTATACATTATCTGGTGTTTATGGGAGAATTTATAGTGGAGTCACTAGTTGTTTAGTGCTGTTTGTAATTGAATTCTTCCACGAAAGGGGCAAGGAATCTAAGAAGCCGTATGCCGTCAATGATAATGATTAATTTTTTGTATTGAAAAGAGTATGTATACCATTGTGATTTTGGAAAGGTTTTCATGATTTTAGTATGTGAACACATCACCCAGACTATATCTAAGGAGAAAGTTTGTGTTTGTGAACAAGGTGCCCATTATTCCCCCACCACATGCCATCCAAAGAGATCGAGGTTAAAAGAATCAGACACACTAAAAACACACTGGAAGCATGTCCAGGCATGATATATCAGCCTTTTGAGATATTTATTAAAAACTTGTTCTTATACACTATTTTAATATGTCTAAAGTGACACATGCCTTAATTTAAGTGCCTAAGATTTGAATTAATGTAATTTTAAATTACAAACACTTTTACTTTTTAATAAACACAAATATTTTAACTTACCAAAAAGTTTAGAGATCACATTAATAATGTGGCTCTTGTATAGAGAAATCTGAGTGGTTACTTTTGAATGGTTAACTGGTTAACCATTCAGTGGTTGACTGAGTGGTTACATTACTACTGAATGGTTATATAAAATGGAAAACATATTTACTTTGTCTTTTCATTTTACTGGCTTTTCTCTTTCATCTCATACACCTGACAGATTACCCAGGTTTGCAACAGTCTCATAATCTGATACTGTACAACCTTTAAAATAAAATTCTGAAGCCAAAACCATATGATTTTTAGATTGTATTACTATTTTTGATCCTTTTTGAACTTTAGAATTTCAAGCTCCTTAGTTTAATTAATAGAGGCATATTAGCTGGAAAAAGTCCATTTCTGATAGGAAAAAATGTAAGGGAAGCATTTCTTCTGTCTTTTTTTAGTTTTCTTTTAGATTTTAGAAAAATTTTCAAACTTAAACTCTGTATATAGAAATTTATAGATATTTTGTATTTCGACGAGTTTATAATGCTTCAAGATAATGAAGCTTCATTATAAGCAGCTTAACTCATTTAATGCATCCTGCTCACATAGAGGTTGGTTTTATATCTCAAATCCTTCCTGCCAGACAAAGATTAAGGTTTCAGAGGGCTTAATACTGGACTATTGGCTCAATACTGAGTGGTCGGTTGCAGTTTGTCCATAGAAGACCTAAATAAGCAGAACTTACTAATACTTAAAGAACAAAATTTGTAGGCAGGTTTCAATCTGAGTTCAGTATAATTATATATAAGGGGATGGCCACTCAAAGTATTTAGCGCATCCTCTAAATAGAAATAGATCTGTATCTTAAATAGCCTGGCTCCCATCTTTATAAGCCCATCTTCATTTAGTGAGCTTAAAAATGGCCACTAATGTATGGCCCTTATAATTGTTTTAGACTTTACTAGCTCAGATGATAATTGCTAAGTATTGTCATTGCTGATATTTTTTCTTAAAAGAGAGGAATTTGGATCATAACATTTTAAGTACAGAAGCTCTGGGTTCAAGAAAAGATTTCATGGTATGTATATCATTTAAAAAAGTACTGTTTCTATAGTAGAAGCCAAAGAGGCACAATGAATAACAAGCTTTCCTGGTCTTTTAGAAAGCTGTAAGGTTTGACTTGACTCACTTTAAAATTATTCTTAATCTGCAGGACAGATGCTGATATAATGCCCCATATATATCTTAGCAGATTGTAATTGAAGAGTAAGAGCTTTCAGTTCATATTGAAAGTAGCCATTTCTATAGAATTTGAATTAATCAGTACTGTTACATTTAAGGGAAGATTCACATCATGGTTTTTCTTTTGTTGAAAACCTTGTTGTAAAGAATTCATTTGTGAATTCCTGATGAGAGAAACTGGATTGGATGGGTGTTAGGGATGGAGGCAGCGATAGGGGTGAGGAAAGTAAAGGGCTAAGGCTGGATGGTAGTAAAATTAAACTTATCTATTTTATAAAAGTTGCCATATGCTTCAGAATTTCTTATCAAATATGGCACATATTTGTTCTTTCTACTGATATTTGCAAGATGGATATATATGTTGTTTCCAGAGCTATCAGGTATTTATAAGTAGCTCAATCTAAATTAAATAAATTGTCACCAACCTATTTACACTCTGCATTTTATTATGCCTAAAGGGTCAGTGATGATAAAATTCGGAATTAGAGAAGTAATACCCTCCAGAAGCGCCTTACTGGGTCACCGTCCTTTTGATCAAAGGGTGTCAGCAGCACAGAACTTAAGTATTATGTCATTTAATTTATAGTGCTTTGGCTAATTTTATTTAACATAATTAATTTTAACATCCTGAATTAGGTTGGTTTTATTTTGACTGTTTGTACAGTCAAGGAAACTTGTAGAAACACAGCAAAGCTAGTGACCTTCACACTTTCATGCATGAACATAAATGAGCTCATAAGATCATTGTCTCTTTTTGTTGAATTTCAAAGGCATTTACCTATCTTGGAGTAAAACCTAATGTTTCTGACCTTGATAGGATAATCATAGATAATATACTTTTAAATGAATTTGCAGAGAAAAATAAATTTTATTTGTGCTGCTATGTGTATAATATGTCTATTTTGAAAAGCACCTAGTATACAAACACTAATATTGTAATACCAGTATAATTCAAATCATCTTTTTTTTGGAGGGGAGTTTATTTAAAGTGTTGGACAAAAAAATGTTATTTATAACACTTGGTTGGGTCTTTTTTTTTTTTTTAATTTCTTGTTGTTGTTCACTGTTCAAAAGGTACATCACCAAGTTGGATCTTTTTATTCACCAATGTAAACTGAACAAGTTCGACGATGGTTGTCCGCTATTAGTGCCTCATGCCCAAATGGTGGGAACTATGGTTGTTTGAGCCATGGTACTGTCTTTGGTCAGGGCACATTCTTCATTTCTAAACCATAGTTCATTGCTTTGAGAGGCTGTTATTTTAGTGTTAGTCTTTGAATATTGGTTTGAAAATAATACAGTTACTATTTTTTATGGTTGGTATTAGGACCATTATTTGTTTTGCTAAAACAAAATCATCTTGTTTCAATAACATTTTATCTCTTTCCCACCACATACTTCCTTCCTGAATTTTAATATGTATTATACCACATCATCAGTTATATTCTTGCTTTCCAGGATTGTTGTGAATGCTTGCATGTGAGATGCTTTTACATAAGGGCTAGGATTTGGAGATACTTCTGTGGTGGGGAAACAGCTTTCTTTCCTTCCTCCTTCATGCCTGCCTCTTCCCCTGCCCCCATGTATAAAATGTGATTTATCAGCTCCTTTCTAGATATTATGAATCATGTGAATTTAGATATGGTAGTCTTCCTCTACCCCCCCCCCTTTGCAGAACATAAAAATTTCTCATCCTCTGTTCATAAAAATGTTTACTCACATGAAAACATTGTGAGAATGGAATCTTGTTCCATTAACGTTAGCCTTGGTGGTGTAGAAATTAGGACATGAAGCATGTCACTTTCAGTGTAAAATATGTCAAGGAGCTTAATTTCTTTCATCAATTCTGGACAATTGCTAATGTAGTAATACACTTTAGTTGCTTTGAGCACCTTGGGCTGGTGAGAAGGGACATACATAGTATCTTTGTTAAAGAATGAGTTACGAGAAGAGAAAATTAAAAAAAAAAATTGGTGAAAGGAAAATAACTTTGGCTTTTTTACTGATATTTTTATACTGAAGTAGAAAAACAATTGTTCCTGTTCTTCCTGAAGGAATTGTTCTCACAATTTTTTTGTTATTAGATAATTACCTAAGCTTCTGTGTTATAAGCTGTGGCCTCAGTAGAGATGGTGGTGCTTGAGTGATCGTTTTACATTTTGTTCCTGACAGCTGGCCAGCATTGTGTTTATATTGGCATGGAAAAGAGATACCTGACTCAGAGAACAATGTTTTCCAAGGATTGTGACTAAAGACTTCCTTAATGGTATAATAATGTACCTCCTCATAAAAACAGGTTCAACAGCTGTAGCTAATTTTTTGTTGTTGAAGGAAGTTTCATTTGTTTTGTTTTTAACTACTTGTAATAAAGAATTGAGATCCAGCGTTTAAGATTTGTAAGAAATTGCAGATTCCGTAAGGAAGCTCACATCTACAGACATGACTAATTATTGATAATAATAAATGCAAAATATTTTGAATTATTAGGAGTAGAGTTAAAAGAATGAAAAATAAGAGGCTATGATAGTAGGAGGATGATTGCTGGCTTGATTTACCTTGTGAAACTAGTTACAGGAGTATTCAGATAAATTGTGGAAAACGTTAGAGGATGCAGAATACCATTGAAATTCATGCCCATTAATGGAGAAGAATTTCTTATTACAAAACTATATTTGTAGCCCCGCCAATAGCTTCAGGAATTATTTAATTATAAACTCTGTAGAAGTTTGGAGATAAGACCTGTGTTTAATAACTTGCATTAAATCTTTCTGGGGACGTCATCAGCAAAACTCTTGGATAATTAGAAAAACCTGGGAAGATTTGGGTTCTCTGGAATAGCCAAGTTATCACTTTGAAATTTCACAATCATGTTGGAGGAATAACATTAAAATATTTGAGTAGTAAAGGCATTGAGTATCAGTGTGAGTCATCCACATTTGGTAAGGAGGTCTGGGGCATTTGTTGCAGTGAAAGAGTTCAGGAGTCTTGTATTGATATCTCTTTTTTTGATTCATCTCATTTGTTGAATACCTACCAGAGTACCTCATTGGGTCTTCTTTATACACAGCCACTTGTAATTTTACCTTTCCATATACTCTTAAATTTCTTGGCCTTCTCCCTGTTGTATGCATCTGGTTAAATCCAACTCTGTACACTCTACATATAAATGGTGAATGCGAAATACACACAAATTGTTGAATGGTCTTTCAATTTTGACCACTAAACTCAAGTGAGCCTTCAATGCTCCCTGATATCATATTACATTTCCTTAATCTATTTGTTCTCCTACAATGCTGGGCTGACTTTCTCCTCTTTCAAACCACTTCCTCTCTTCCTACTCTTTGTTCTCAGCTGATGACCTTGCTTCCTACTTTATTGAAAACATAAGCAATTAGAAGAGGTCTTCTCTATACTCCCACCATTTTATCAATGAACTTACTTGCATTTGGGAATATGTTCCTTGCTTTCCCTGCTGTTAGCTAGGTGAACCATCCATATTCTATTTAAGGCCCAGATCCTCACAAGTCACTTAGATCCTCACCCCAAGTTATTCAGGACCTTCATTTGAGCAGTCCTCCCTTCTGTTCTACTGTATCAGTTTTCCCTTTCTGCTGGAATAATCTCATCAGAACAAAAACTTCCTACGATAGCTCACATCATTTAAAAAAGAACTGTCCCTTCAATCTACCTCTTTTGGCTATTCGTCCATTTTTTTGTTTCACTGGTAGCAAAACTCTTTGCGTTGTAAGAATTGTCTATACTTGCTATCTGTTCTTTCTCTGAATCTCTTGAACCCATTCTAATCAAACATTGTCCCTGACACAAAGCACTGGGTATGATTGCGCAGGTTGCACACTGTACAGGAGTGCCACATTTAGGAGAATGATGTTCATATAGTTTATGGCAGTGATTTTCCAGCAGATGGCACCAAGTGTCTTGTTGCAAAAAGATTAGTGTATTTGACAATTTTACAAGAGATGGAAGTGTCTTTTAAGAGGAGCATTGTTTTAATCCATATAAAGGCTCTGCCTTGGGCTAATAGTGTTATGCTACTACTCCACCAAAATAGCTTTATTAGGTCACAAATGACCTCCATATTTCTAATCCCACAGTCCATCTTATAGTCAGCTTAAATAGCATTCATAACAGTCGCTCACTTCTTCATGAAATTGTCATCACCTAGCTTAGAGATGCCACTATTTTTTATTGTCTTCTAACCTCCCTTTAACAAGCCATCGTCTTCTAACAAGCCATGGTTTTTAATACCCTTTGCTAATTCCTACTTATCTCTCCAGCCCCTAACCTCTGTTTAAGGAACTTTTCTATAACAATTCATTCCCTTTGTAATATCATCCAGCATTACGGTTTTAAATGCTATCCATGCACACTGGCAATTTCTGAGTTTATATCATCAACCTGACTTTTAAATTTCCAGACTTATATATCCAACTGCCTATTTGACGTCTCTACTTAGGCATCTAATATAGGCGGAAATTCCCACACCCCTCCTGCCCTACCTTCCCCTAATTTTTTTTTTTTTTGAGGCGGAGTCTCGCTCTGTTGCTGAGGCTGGAGTGCAATGATGCAATCTCTGCTTACTCCTGCCTCTGCCTCCTGGGTTTCAGCAATTCTTCAGCCTCAGCCTCCCGAGTAGCTGGCACTACTGGAGTGCGCCACCACGCCCAGCTAATTTTTGTATTTTTAGTAGAAACGGTGTTTCACCATGTTGGCCAGGCTGGTCTCGAACTCCTGATTGTTCGAGTGATCCGCCCACCTTGGCCTCCCAAAGTGCTGGAATTACAGGTGTGAGCCACCGCACCCGGCCCCCTATTGTTAACATTCCACATACATTCCATAACTTGTACCAATGTTAATTTCTTAGGTTTTGTTTCTTAGTTTTGACAAAACATTGTCAAAACAAAACCTAAGAAGAAACAAACAAAACTGGACCTTACTCAGGTTTCACTGTCTTTCCACACATTTTCCAAGATCTGACCCAAGATCCCATGTTACATTTAGTCCCCTTCAGTCTGTGACAGCCATTCCATGTCTTTCATGGTTAGCCAGATGCCCTGTGGAATGTTCCTTGATTTGAGTTTGTGTGGTATTTTCACATGATTAGTTTGAGGCCATGGATTTGGGAGAAAATACTGCAGAGGTGATGATATTGGGCATCCCGAATTTAGTATGTTCAAAACTGGACAATGTATATCTCCTGACCCCTGCAGTTTTTCCCATCTGGGTGGTTTTTGTAGCTTCGTAAGTGGCAGTTCTCTCTTCCGTGTTGCTAAGCGCGTCTTGGGCTCTACTCTAGACCTACTGAATCAGAAACACTGGAGGTGAGGTCCAACAATCTGTTCCACATGCCCTCCTGGAGATTCTGATGCATGCTGAAGTTTGAGAAGCACCGACTTAGACCAGTACACCTTATAGTCGTTTTGACTCCTCTTTGTCTCATACTCCAGATGTCTTTCAGAATCAGTAAATTCTGTCAGTTCTGTCTTGAAAATGTATCCAGGTCTACTGCTTGTTACCATGTTTACTGCTCCCATCCTGTTTCCATTTTTTGTCAGCCCTGCCCTCTTTTTTTTTTTTTTTTTTTTTGAGACGGAGTCTCGCTCCATCACCCAGGCTGGAGTTCAGTGGCACCACCTCAGCTCACTGCAAGCTCTGCCTCCCGGGTTCACGCCATTCTTCTGCCTCAGCCTCCTGATTAGCTGGGACTACAGGCGCCCATCACCACGCCTGGCTAATTTTTTGTATTTTTAGTAGAGATGGGGTTTCACCGTATTAGCCAGGATGGTCTCGATCTCCTGACCTTGTGATCTGCCCACCTCGGCCTCCCAAAGTGCTGGGATTACAGGCATGAGCCACCACGCCCGGCCAGCCCTGCCCTCTTACCTGGCCTCCTGGCCATTGCCCTTGCTCCTCTGCTGTCTGGTACTCCTTTCAGCAGATCATGTCATTTCTCTGCTTACACCTTCCAGTGTCCTTGTCTCGGAGTAAAACCTCAGATCCTCACATTGATAGAAACATGCTTTTCCCTCCCCTTATCTTCTATCAATCCTGACCTTGCTTACATCCCATCTTCTTATACTTGCTCAAACATACCAAGCATGTTCTCTCAGAGTCTTTGTACTTTTACTGCTTCCTGAATATTCCTCCCTTGAATCTCTTAATGTTTCATTCAGGCACCATCAGGTTTCTTATTGGAGAAGCCTTTCCTGACCACTCTGAAATAATCATGTTCCCCACACCCTGCCCAGTCTTATTTTTATTTCCTATCTGCCTTACCCTGCTTTATTTTTTCTCACTCCTTTCATCTTAGTATGTGTTTGTTTCTCATCTCTATACAGACAGTCCCTTAGGATGATTCTTAGGATTTTTCAACTTTATGATGGGTTTATCAGAGCGCCAAGTACGTTTTTGACTTATGATGGGTTTCTCAGGACATAACCCTATTAGGTAAGTCAGAGTATCTGTGTATGCTCCATTAAGGGAGAGCATTTATTTTGTTTCCTTCTGTATCCTCAGACACTCCATATATTGTATTTGATTGAGTGAATGAATACCAAGCATGGCTTGGCACACCTAGTGTTGCAGAAATAGTCAAAATACTATTCTTGGCTTCAAGAAATTTATACTCAAACTGTGGAGATAAACAGTTTTACAAACAACTGATAAAGTGCTAAATCCAGCAAGCAAGAAGAGTAGAAGTGGTTGAAGTTAAGAAATCTTGGCATTTGCATCAGGTTTCCAGTGAAACAGAATCAGGAGCTTTGAATGAATAAATCATTACAGGCCCAGAGACCTATAGGAAAAGACAATTCTAAAGTAGCTAAGTGCAAGGTGTAGTCCAGGAATGATAAATCAGGTTTGAGTAAAGAGTATAGAATTTATGGGAAGGTGTAGTGATAATGATAGCTAATACTTGAGTGCTTCTGTGCCAGACATTGTTCTGGAAGTACAGCCCTAAGTATTTACT